GCGATTCAACGTGATTCAACTTGACTTTCTTAACAAAACGTTCGCTAGGAAGTTATTTAATTAGTAAAGTATTATACAATTATTTTAATTTTTTTAAGTTTGCTAATATCTGAAAATTCTGGTTTTATACTACTATCCTATATAAATACTTGTGTAATGTCAATCCCGGAATTCATCGGAAACGAATGTCCCCTCTGCTAATACTGGGCCTATCCAAGTATATTCACAGTGGTCCGAGCCTAGTCTGATAGTTGTTAGGCCCAATCTAAGCCCAGCTCGCATTATAAAACATAGGCCCGAAACTAGGTCCGGCCCGCTAATTTACAGGTTTAGCCCGGTCCACTTCATACCCTATTCACCAAAATCAGGCCACCACATGTGAAAATTTGCGTAACAGTAATTTTTATAAAACTGTAAATTTTTTTCGTTATAAAGATTCTATTTTAGAACATGAACACATTGTTAACTTCTTGATAGAATGATTATCTTCCTGGTGACCTTTTAGCTGCAGAAATTGATGACACTATTTAAAAATATCAACAACATCGGTCTTAGAAAGACGCAATGAAGTAGACAATTTCTATCTCATAATTCAAGTAGTAGCTGTTATTATCAAATTATGGTAATAAATTAATGCATATTCTTGTTTTTTTTTCCTATTAAATATTTATTTGAAATATATAAATAGAGTGCCAAAGGCAGCGAGTCTCTTTCTGAACAAACGGATCAGAATGATCTTATAAAAAAATTTTTTAGAGTCATACAAAATAATCAACAGCAATTGTCAAAAATACAGCAACAGCTTAATGATATTCTAAATAATAATCAAAGTGAAAGTGAGATAACTCCGCGGAAAGTGTATATATTTTAATTATTTATTTTATCTGGTTTTTTTATTCTATGAAATTTATTTATTTTAATTTTTAGAATCGAAACTTGCAATGTTGTCTAGTCTATACCTATGTCATCGGTAAGAATAAAGATCTTTCTAGTCCAGAAGCACAATACCAAGAGGTTGAAATAATGGAAGATGATTGTATTTACGATATCTTAAGAAAAATGGACCGCCTATATCTCTTACCATACAAAGTAACTATTCTGGTCACACCGAATAATAAATTCAATTCTAAAGAGACCATTACTACCACCACCGAATTAAATGCATGGGATATTTGTTTTTCTCATGATTTTTCTCAACCAAAATGTCAGTTTTTTGGTTTTTTAGTTCAAAACATGGACCATCATTATGCTACTCTAATTGAATTTTGTAGAAAGTGTAATCGCTGAGGTATGCATTTTGAATCACAATGTCGCAATAAGTAATTTAATCATTCAAAATATAATTACAAGATTTATACTAATAAATACAAATCTTTTAGTAGAAGATCCTACAAGAATTAGTAAATGATTTGTTATGGGAACGAATCTTTTTTGATAATCATTTTACAAATAATTTTTTTTATCTGATAATCCCTTTGTACATGGTCTAATAACTGCATATATTTTATCTAAATAATTTTTTTAAATTAGATAATGAAATTAGCCATACCACAGGGAGTTTGATTTTTGATAATCAAATTAGGCCAGAAACTTTGTTTATACAGGCCATTCAACCTGGCTGGTTGGATGGTGGCCTATTAGCTAAACAAAGTTTAGTTTGGTGCTAATTGAAAGCTTTTTTCTATAGATTAAAGTTGCTATTGCTATTGAATAAACAAGGTTTGCATTTCACAGGATGTAGTTACAGTGAGCATCTAGCAGTATAGTAGTTGAGACCAAATAAATAACAGTCGATATTAGTGATTGGACCCGATATAAAATTTGCTTCCCGGATTACTCACCGTTTACAGATCATATTACCAGATTTTTATCCGAGTTATCCGGATAGGCTATCTGATCTCTGGTTACCAGAATGTATATCAATACAAACTAATCAGAAAACAGTATTAAACTACTTGTCTATAATCAAAGATCAAAAGAAGGATTCTAGCCTAGAGACAGAAATTTTAAATAACCTGAATAGTTTAAAATAGAATTGCTGGTATTTTTAATAATTAAATCAAGATCATACTTTATAGTTGCTATCGGCTAATTAAGTTTTAATTCGAGCTTATTAAAGAAACTATAATTATTAGTATTGATATAACAATAAATCTTTGTTATCCAGCTTATCTGAATATTTGTCAAGGTTAGCTATAAACGTATAAACAGATATGGATAAATTCTGTTTTTCCTGAATGGATAACTAGGGTTGTAAATCAATTCTATGATAATCAGTTTAAGAATCGATTCACATTTAGTCAAATCATTATAAACGTTTCTACAATTACAGAATCAATTCTAAAATTAGAATCGATTTTAAAGCACATAATTGATTGTTTATATTTAAATTTTAAATTTTTCTTCACTGTAGTGTATTTGTTATTAAAAATTATAAAATTGCCTAATTTCCTGTGATTTTAAACAGCATGACTTGTAGAAGTCATATTTTTTATAAATCGTGACACAGCTACCCCAGTGGACTATGAAAGATCGTTGCAAATGCACCAATCAGATCTTTTCTAACAAATAACTCTCTATGAAACCACCTACTGCGCATTAACAAAAAATTCTCTGTAAAATTTTAGTATAAAATAAGCCATAATTTTAGTCACAACTTTAACCCTAACATAGGCTTTTATTACTTTTAAAAATTCAATTGTTTAATTAGTACAGATCATCTGATTGGTGCATATTATCAATTTTTCATGGTCTCACTGTGTAGTTATCGAGACATTATAATGATTTAAAGCTTGATTTAAAATTTGACTATTGATTCAATTTATAGAATCGATTTACATAATGCGATACCACCTCTATTCCAACATTTTTAGCATAACCATCCAATTTATTTAAGTAATTGGTGCTTAAAAATTTAGCATTATATGAATTTTAAGTGATTTTATTATAAAATTTATTATCAGTATAGTAAATTATATATATTGACAAATAATTCAAACTGCATATATAGATAATCTTCAATCCCAACCATGTAAAATCAAATTCCTCTGAAATTAAAAAAAATAATCAAGAACAGAAAAGCATAAAGGTATATAACAAAGTAGCAAAAATCTATTAACTTTATAGAGAATAGAATTAATAATGCTTTAATACAGTAAGCATAATTTATGTAATACTGATTAAATTGCTATTTCTTTTTAAAAATAATAATTGAGAAATAGTTTTTGGTTTAAGGCAAATTCGTTTTGGAGTTACCTGATTGCCAGCATCAGAAAACAAATGCTCACTTGGTACTAAGGTAGCTGGTATAGAAAGATATTTTCTTGCTAACTGACTTAACTTTGGTAACTCTTTTTAATGTTCTTTCCACCATACAAGATGTGAATATTCTTGTGGAGCAAGAGGCATCTTTTTAATATCTAAATACCGGTCTAATTCATTCTCTATTAAGCAATTATCATCATCATTTTGAAAAATTGATGCAAAATAATTGTTAATTGATGAAGTAGTACTTTGAGATGGGGTAGATGATAAAGAATTATAATCAGTAATAGTATTAAGTTCCTCATAACATATCTCTATTGTTTTATCTCGTATATGACTTAGCCAAAGACGTATTTTTTTTAATCTTGGATTTAATAATGTTGCTAATAGATCTGTATTACTTGGATTTCTCCAATACTTTCAGAGCAATTTATATATTGCCTGCTTTACTTCTAAAATTATAGATTGAATATGAAGAGTTTTTGACGGTCGAATATTAGAGTCTTCATCACTTTCACTATTACTGTCAATGTCTGATTCTAAAATAAATAAATTATTAAATAAATTGTAAATTTAATAATTATAATTATACTTTACAAAATCTGATAATTTTGAGATATACAATTATTTGCAAATAATAAGCAATATATAGTGCATTATTAGTACTAAGTTAGCAATTTTAATAATTTATTACAAGATTATTTCATTATCAGCGCCTTTAAATATTTAATAAATTAGTTAAATAATGTTAATCTTTAGATCTTTATTATTAAAATTTTGATAATATAATGCTAATATTGGCATTTTATTAATATAATAATTGACAAATATATTTATTAAATTAAAATATAGTAATAATATACTGATAAAGTACTTATTTAATAGTACATTATCAGCAATGTTAAATTGCTTATTTTTAGCAAGTTTAATTTTGTTATTATTTTACTGTATTGCAGAACAGTAATCTGTGACCCGGCCGTATGGCTTTTTTTAAGTAATAAATTTTTTAAATAAAGGCATTGTCACAACAACCTGGATTTTAATTGTTTTCTATTAAAAACCATTGCTTTTTTCAAGTTTGATCACACAACTTATACAGTACATAGACTTTCATATCGCCGACTAACCTTTAGTGATCCAGCGATCCAGCGATCCAGCGATCCGGATTTTAATTTTTTTTTAATCATTATTGCTTGATTGACTCTTTATCATGAAGAAAAAACATATGGGAATTGGGATTAAAACCATATAATACTTAGAAGAGGATTGTTGCATTAGGTTTGCATCTTTCTGTCTGCTCATATACAAACAAATTATTGCTTGTGAAAAAACCAGACAAATTTTAAACCAGCTAAAATCATGTTTTATTTTGATTTGAAAAAACGCATTCTCCTGCAATATTGCAATATCACAAAAAAGTCATAACGCAGACAGTTTAATTGTTTAGCTGTATTAACTTTACATTACAGTGCAGCTGTGGAGCTTTACTAATGGCAACAAAATGCTTATACAAGTTAATTATTAATCAAGCGATCATGAATTACTGGAACATGAATATAAAGCAGTATCTATGTCATATAATTACTGAGCTACAAATAAGGTTCTTGCACAGCTAAGCAGCTGCAGAGCCTTACCGTATTGTCGCGAAATAACGCGCTGGGGTTATTTAGAATAATGGCCTGAATTAAGCTTAATTTAGGCCAAAATTTGTAATTTCACCCCTGCGCGTTATTTCGCGACAATACGATATATATATTAATGCCTATCAATATAAGATACTTACCTAAATTAAAACTCTTACCGGTAATTATTGCACAACCATACTAAGCAGCTTTATGTATATATTCATTAAAGTTCTTGCACTGCTATGCAGCCATAGAAATTTACACATACCACTATCCATTGGCATCATATGCTTAAGCCATTAATCAGGTGGTCATCGAGCTGCTTTCAGTCACTGAGACATGATTATACTAAGCAAACTCTAATTCATAAAATCATCAAGCTGTAATTAATGTCCTTGCACTGCTATGCTACCGTGGAACCTTAAATCTATTAACACCTATTAGCATAAGATACTTATACTAAGAAGACTCTGTGACATATATTCTAAGGTTATGGCTGTAGAGCCTTACATATGCCATTGCCCATCGGCATCATATGGAGGTGAGTCAGTAGAAACACACCATATCTTTTTTAATGAAATTTTTTTGAATCTTCAAACAAAAATAACTTAGCAAAAACTTAAATAAATTCTACAAGTTTTTATAATTAGTTTTAAAAAAAATTTTATTAAATTTGATTAAGCTATTGTTGAGTTATTCTTGTTTAAAGTTTTAAAAAAATTTACTTAGAAAAAATATGGTGCGTTTCTACTGACAAACCCATATGTTTATAAGTAAGCATGGAGGATTTCTATTGGTCGATATATTGCAGCTGTTTTCATAAATTCTGAGACAAATTTTCCGAATGATTTTTCGGCCGATTCGATTAAGTTATTGATTTCGGCAATGATCGGTGTATATTTTTACATGTAAGATAATTTTATCATTATAAGGTAGATGTGCGACGCTGTCGCACTAAAATCAGGAACGTAGACAACGATATTTATAATTATATATGCTAATTCTTACATTATATCATTAAGCTTTTGATGACTATTACGTACTACACCGTTTTCAATTTCCTTATTTGTAAGTGCATAAAAAACGAAGCAACTGAAACTAGTCTATGTTTAGGATTAAGGTCAAGAATTGAGTAGGCACTATAGGTAAAACTACTCCCCTGACATTTTTTATTAGTGCTCCAAGACAGGTTTAGACACTCATTTCTTGTATTTTTTAGCTTTTTTTATTTTTTTTTGCTTCGTAAAACTTTGCGATTTTAATTGGTTAATCAATGTAGATCTCCCAAATTAAGAAATTGGAAAACGGTTTCATTTATCCGGCAAACTCTTATGATCATGAATTGCCCATCTGTCTTGTTATTTTTTTCATGTGTTACGATGTAATCATGTTTATTCA